GTAGGGTAAGATTTCCCCTATCCGATGCTTATGCTGTTCTGCGTGGGCGTGCCTTGAGTTTCCAGAAATCATCGATAGAAGCCATTGTTTACAAAAGCTGTTACGCCCTAATTCCAGCTCTATCTAGAATTAACAGTTACTGTGTTGCATTTTTGTGACATTCAAATGCAGTTCTTTTCGATGCCTCATTCCATTCATGGTGGGTATATTGGCGTTGACGGCACCGTCGAAAAATTTGCTCTTCCAGCAAATTTAGACAGTTTCCTATGGGAATTTTCAGTGGAGTGAAAGGATAGTACAAAGTCCGCCATGTTTCACGCACAGTCTGACGTTTGCTTATGGATTTTCTCATAGGAGTAAAGAGCTACAGAGTCGCCGTCAACGCCAATAAATGGTGATACAGCTTTGTCACTATATAGGCGAGGAGGTCGCGGGGGGGAAAAGAGCAAATTGTAAACAAACTCGGTCGCTGTCCCATACACGCTCCTTCAATGTTACTCAAAAGTGAGTAAAAATCTACTCTCTTTCGGTAAAAGTGGAACTACTCTAAAGTGAGTAAACCTATAGTTACTCACTTTTGAGTAATGCTAGCATTTGTCAAAATCAGAGTAACTTGCACTCAGTTCTGATATGCGGTAAACAGCATATCTGAGTAAATGTTACTCAGTTCATGTAAAATTGGCCGTTTTTCAAAATGAGTAATAAATTGTTTTGATATTAATAATATTTATATGAAAAATCAAAACGATAGAACAAATAATTTTATTAAAAAACAAAAGAATCTGCATTTCAATTATGTCCAAGACGTCCGATGTATCATCCCATCACATTTTCTAGATTTTTTTTTTTTTTTTTTTCCTTTGATTTGTTTTCCGTCGATCTTGTTTTCCGTGCTGAGCACCAATGCTACCGACGCCAGAGAGGCAGCTCCCACACCTGGACCCTACCTATCGACCCATCAACTCATGAACCGGGGACCAACGGCTTTACTTCCCTTCCGAAGGAAGGCATGATCAGAGATGTTATGCCTCAGAACATCCCGGCGGCGCCGACTGGGATTGAACCCAGGCCTGCTGGGGTGAGAGGTAATCACGCTTACCACTACACCACCGGCGCCGCTTTCATTTTCTAGATAACCCTCTTGTTTCTGTTCCAATTCCGGAGGATGGTTCATAATGATGGGCCGCTTCAATGTTTTGAACCGGGTGTGTAAAGATCCACATTTGGAGTATTGGAACGGTAAATCAGCACTGCTGGTATTGAACTAATGATCATGTTGATTGTGGGATTTTAGTTCTGCTACATATCCTGGAACAAATCTTTGATACACGGGGAGATGGCCACCAAAACCTTCTAAAAGGATTTAATTAGGTGCTTTAATTTTCAAGTGCTTCATTTTCTTACCTTTTTAACTTAGAGAACGAATCCTAACCAGCAGCCACTTGATCCATTCCTTTCTCCTAAATTTACAAACATGAATGGGAAATAGGAAGTTCCATCACCGACGAGATTTTTCACTTTTGTCCAAGCTTTTGTCACAAGCATTTGACATAAGCACAGTGAATAAAATTTGTGCAGGATTACTCAAAAGTGAGTAAACATTGTTTTTAAACAAACAGAGTAGTAGTTACTCACTTTGCTAAATCAATGTTACTCAGATTTTGACATTTTGTACAAAAATACCAAATTGAGTAGAAGTTACTCACTTTTGAGTAACATTGAGCGAGCGTGTACAAAAATCCAACATGGCTGAATCATGAATTTGACAAATTAGAACACCTATTTGTAGTCACCTTGATTCCATTCCGATCATTTCAGATTGCCACGCTTATTCTGGCCAACTCAAAATTGAGTCGAATGTACTCATCTCAGCGGCAAGCAGGGCTACTCAAAATTATTTGAGCCTTAAAGGCCCAAACGCAATGTGGGCGGAAGCGGAACGGAAACGGAAAGTTTGACAGTTGTCACAAATGACATCAAGCTGCCTAACCGAAGTCGATTTGGTTCTAACTTGTTTTCAATCCGACAAATAGGCTTACTCAGATCGGGCTATTCCGCTGCCGCTGCCGTTCCGCTTCCGCTGTCATTGCGCTTGGGCCTTTATGTTGACTCACTTTTGAGTAAACGACGTTCTCACGTGGACTGATTCAAATCCACTCAGCGATATTTTCAGTTGCGGGGCGGGTTTTGTTTTGATTTTATTTAAGGAAATGAAAATTGTCTGCTCCGGATTCATTCTACCGGAGCAGAAAATGGTTCAACACCATTGCCCTAAGCAATTTCTACTTACCTGAAGGAATTTCCGCCCGTTTTGAGTGAAACATTCACCCGTTTTCTATGACGTTTCCTCCAACATGGTTGACATTTTTTCTAAGTCCGGGATTTTGCTGACTGAGTGGCTTTTACTCAGTTTGACATTTCCCGTTTACTCAGTTTTTGACAACTCGATACATCGGACGAAAGTGTGAGTACGATCGACTCACCCGGTGAAAGAATTCTTGGGTGATTTCTGACTATTCTTCCAAGAGAATTCTAAAGAGTTCGAAATAAATTCCGAGAAGAATACCAATCGAATCGAATTTTGAGGGTTCAATCTCAAAGCAATTCTGAGAAGAGTTTCAAAGTTTGTGATGGATTTTTGTTTTGAGAATTCTGAGGAAATACTATGGGGATTCTAAGGAGAATACGAATTGAATTTCCAATTGAACGCAAGGACGAAGTACAGGATTATTCTAAGCAGAAATTTCTGAGGTTAATTGCATGGAAATTCTAAGCATGGATTTATGGAAGGAGCATTCAGGGAGTATCTAGCAGAATCCATAAAAAAAATCGAAAATAATCTACCTTATCTAATCATGTCTTATTACTTCATGCGTGAATTTAACGATTTACAAAGTCGGAGATGCTTAACGTCAAATATCAGACTTAAAATGAAGATTTTATACGATAGATGAAGAGATTCAATTATAGAGTTGATAGTTCCGTTATAGTACGGCAGTGTGAAAATTGTATATATAAAGTAAAAAGTGAGCAAAGGACAATTTTGAGTAGAAATACTCAGAGGGAGAGATAGGCGGAGAAAACAAAATACAATTCGGCAGCAGGGATTTGTACCTAAATTATCTTGCAACCCTTGCTAGAAGCGAAGACAACAAATCAACTTTGCCAAAATCCAAGCGACAGATACAGTAGTGCCATAGAGGTTACTCTAAGACTAGAAGGTCCCGAAATAACGTGCTCAACTTTTTGGCTCAGCTCTGGTACTCTCTTCGGTCCCAAGCTAATCGATTCACCCCTTGAAACATAGGAAAAACCAATAACCCCTCATTTTATCTGTCAAATTTTCATAGCGAATCAAAACAAACATTGCGTAGTACTAGAATTTCGACTAGAATAGGGTAAGTTAATAGTTTGCTTGGGACCAATAGGCTACTAAAGTGGTGAGCCAATTTAAAATCGTTAGTTTCGTATTGATTGTTGGTAGTGCTGCGCTTGAGTGAAGGTGGAAACAACGCATAGAAAAATGAGCAAATACACAAACCTTTCTTCTGAGGATGTAATCTTTGCTATCAAGTTCGTTCGAAGCATTTACCTTTGAGCGGCAGATGACGCGAATGTACCTGTCTCATACGCTATAGTCCATTTTATGAAATGGCAGGAGCTGGTTTGCCTGCCAGAATTTGATGATATTGATATTGCTTCTCACAGCCGTTAGGTAACCGCCTCCTGTCAAAGTTCATTCATGAGTTGAACCAGAAACGTCTCATAAAATGCTCTATAGCGTTTGTATGATAAATGGAAGAGTTGTCAGTCTTCTTGATATGAAGTCTTTGCTAGAAGCCAGCATTTCAGATGACTTATATTTTTGATTCGATTTACGTGCAAAATTATAATTATAATCTTGGTACCGTTAATTAACCAACTAAGATCAATTAATCAATAGAGTTAGAATAATGTGTTTGATTCCAAAAACTAGTTGAATTTGAGAAGCACACGAAACATAAAGGTGATTGAACTTCTGTTCGATTGCAATACTCTCAAATTTGATCTAGTAAGAATAAGAAATCCGCGAACAAATTCTAATAGGAATGCTCGATTGGCTCAGATTTTGGCAGTTCATTTGGCTCAAAACATTCTCCGCCCATCTCTCTCTCTGAGTATTTCTAATTTTGAGGAAGGTACGAAACGGGTAGTTGTTTACGTCCGATGGTGACTTGAGTGTGAAACAATCGATAGAACTGTTTTCACACATCAGAGGTACATGGGCATATTGGCGATCATCCCTTTTACCAGTGGTGGCAGGGGGAAAAACCCCTCACTCCAGTCCTCATTAACGGATGTGCTTGGTAAAGGAGAAACCTGTACCGTGTACACATTTCACACTGCCCACTAATAACGGTAATATCAACTCTATACTTTCATCTCCTCATCTATCGTTTAAAATTGTCCACTTTAATTCTGATATTTCAGTACCCACATTTCAAAGAGGCGTAATTGCTTTTGTAAACAATGGCTTTAGCTGTCGATTTCTCGCAAATAAAAGCTCACCTCTCTTCTAAATCAACAATGCTAGTAGCTGGTAGAGGAACCATCCATCTACCTGCTAGTGTTATTAATTTTCATGAGTGAGGTTTTATTCGCGAGGAAACGCCGGCTAAAGCCATTGTTTACAAATGCAATTACGCCCCTTTGAAATGTTGGCACTGATGTGATGTTAAGTATTTCCAACTACGAAAATAATCTATTTCCAAGAATTTTGTTGATTGTTCTGCAAAGAATTTCTAGAATGCAATATAATTTTTGTAAAAGCTTATTTGCCTCTAAGTTTAAGAGAAGGGGAATTGGTCTAAAAAAAAAATCTTGAGATCATTCTGAAGAAATTCCGTGAAAAGTTCATAACAAATTATCAAAGTTATCTACCTAGATGTATCAAATATTTAAAGATTTCGAACGCAGAATCAAATTCAAGATCATAAAATAATTCCCTCCTCTTTTCTCAGACATCTCCTCGAACCAGATCCACACGCTCAATCTGGACCACCACAAACTCAAGCTAACATGGATGATGGATTGGTACAAGAAGGAAGTCCTGTTTCACGTGCAGAACACCTTCCTCCACGGGCGGTATAAATTCTTCGCCATCGGATTCTCGCCACGAGGCGAACTGAAGCGAACCGACCTGTGTATATTCTCGTCGGCCGGAGGCGGTGCCTTCAAACAAGTCTTCGATACATACACCTCGCGGGACTTCAATCGAATCTACGTGGACAGCGAGCAGAACTGCGACGTCATGAGGATCGATGATAACTCGGTGGCATTTCGGAGGAAGTTCGACAGCTGCGATCCACAGGATGTGAGCATCCACGGCGGGACGATGTACGTAGTTTGGCTACGGGGGAAGAAGGAGTTGGATTTCGGCAAGAATTGGACCGTGATGCCGGTCATTGGGAAGGCGGATCGGGGCGTGTTATCGGTGCAGATCTTGCGAGCGGATTCTATTACGATTCCAGAGAAGAAGTCAACGGTGAGAAAGGTGGAGATTGCCCTGGATAAGGCCGAGATTCCGACTGCTGAAACAACGTATTGGTGTAAGGTTCAGCGATTGGGGGATTGGTTAACCGGAAAAAAGCATCATATAGTGCAGTTTGAGCCGATCATAACCAATGAAAATGTTGTTCATCACATGGAGGTGTTCCAATGTGTAACGGATTCGAGTGTGGATATTCCGTTGTACGAAGGTAGTTGCTCCGATATGCCGGCGGAAGCTAAGATTTGTAATAAGGTGATGGCCCTATGGGCGATGGGAGCTGGTCCATTTACGTATCCCCATGAAACGGGTCTGCCGATTGGGGGGAAGGACTTCAATCCGTACATACGGCTGGAGGTACACTTTAACAATCCGGAGCTGAAGAAGAGCATCGTGGACAGTTCGGGGATGCGGATCAACGTTGTGTCCAAATTGAGGAAATACGACGCTGCGATCATGGAACTTGGACTGGAGTACACGGACAAAATGGCCATTCCACCGGGACAGGTGGCTTTCCCGCTGACGGGCTACTGCATTGCGGAGTGCACCAAGGTGGCACTGCCATCTGGGGGTATAACGATTTTTGGGTCCCAGCTTCATACCCACTTGAGGGGAGTCCGTGTCCTAACCAGGCATTTCCGGAAGGGAGTGGAACTAAAGGAGGTAAATCGAGACGACTTTTACTCTCATCACTATCAGGAAATCAGACAACTGAGGTACCGACCGAAGGTTCTGCCGGTAGGTGGCGACGTCTTTGGGGGAGAAACCGCGTGAAATTTTAAAATTGTGCATACTTTTAGGGAGACGCTCTAATGACCACCTGCTACTACGACACCCGTGGGTACGAGACGGCCACACTAGGTGGATTTTCCATTAGTGATGAAATGTGCGTGAACTACATCCACTACTATCCGGCAACGCAACTGGAGCTGTGTAAGAGCGCGATCTCGGAGAAGTCGCTGTACAACTACTTCAAATACATGGCAGAGTAAGCATTGTCCTGCATATGTTATGTTCCGACAAAAGTCCCTAACCATCAAACATTTCCAACCCACAGAGTCGAAAAACAATCTCCGGTCATCCCGGGCGGGGGCCGCTCCGACAACTACCACTCGGTTCACTGGACCAAAACCCGGGCGGATCAGCTGTTCGAGTACTACCTGGAAGAACCGCTGAGCATGCAGTGCAACCGGTCCGATGGCTTCCGCTTCGAAGGTTTCGACTGGGAAGGAGCCCCGATCACAGAATTCACTCCACCCCGGAGCACCCTCCGCGGCAACTGCCAGATTCCTCCCGAGCTGCACTGGTTCAAACCGCTGGAGGTGGGCCACTGCGACGCCTTCGGAGAATGCATTTATGAAGACGAGAAAATCAAAGAATAGACTAAATCTGTTACCAATAAAATGTGAACTAAAGTAGGTTTAAGTTGAGAGAACAAGTTTCCTGCACAAAATAGCTTTCACAACTAGAGACACAATAAATTTGTACAAATAAATCTAAATCTACATAGACATAAACTTTGTTTTATTCAACGATAAGGATGCACCTGGTTAGCCGACTTGATATTGGTCTTAATTCCGGAGGGCATCTTCCCGAGTGGTCCCGCTCCAGGCGAAACGGCACTCATAGGCGACGCTTGTCTGATAGCCGGTGGAATCATAATACCCGCGTTCGGAACACCACCTGGTCCCACTGGAAGTGTTAACCCGTTGCCCAAGCCCACAGCCGCTACCAGCGCTTGCGTATCGGCGAGCGAACTGGTCTGCTGAATGCCCGGTCTCGAAGAGGCTTCCGTATCCCATTCCTCCTTCGCTTTGCTAACAATGTCCCACACGTGCGAAATGACCTTATTGTACTGAGCCACCTGCTTGGCGGCCGTATCCGAGAGCAGATTGTTAGCTTTAGCTTCGTGCGCCGCCATTCGGGATTCCGCTCCGGGGTCCGGTTTCGTTCGCAAATAGTCCGGCACCAAGTCATGTGAAAACACCGGAATACGACCTTCCGTGAGCTGCAGCAATGCTTCATCCCTTTCCGGCGTCAACAGCAACGGTAGGACGGTTAGATTACGAAGCGGTGTTCCAATTTCCGAGGAAAGAATTTTCGACAAACCAGTCAGCTGTGGAACCACCAAAATCGTTACAACTCAAATCAAGTACATGGGAAATTAGCTCATCTTTAGTAGATACTTACATGACTGGAAATCAGCGCAAAGTTGTCCAAAAATGTAGGCCAATTATTGATGGTTTCGTATTCCGATTCCAGCCGGTGAATCATGGCCCCAATCGAGTGCTTAAGGTCGTTGAGCCGGTTGAGGACAGCTTCCAACAGCATGTCCATTTGTTTCTCTTCGCGCTGCATTTTGAATGCTCACAATGGACTCGAGAATTTATTCCAGAAAGCACTAATTATAACGGAACAAGTGCGAGAATTTTGTACAATTTTATCCAGATTTAGCTGGTGTTCTCGGTGTTTATAAACAAAGTTTTGCGACGACGCGACGACAATCTCATGCAGGTTGCATTTGTTCACTAAGGTAGCGTCATAACTAACAGTGGAAAAGGATATCCCTACGGTTTCAATAAAATCAGAATGGCAAAGAAAAATTAATCATATTGTCGAGCAGTTTTGCACGGCGAATGAGAACACCAACATTTGAGTTTAGTTAACTCATAAATCAAATATGTTTTATGATTATTAACTAAACTCAAATTGACCACTTTGTCAAGCAGTTTTGGCGTGACTTTCTACCAGCGATTTCACAAAACTGGACGAAATAATTTATATTTTTTTTATGAAACGCACAAATGTTGGCTACTTTTCTCGAGGTTCTAGAAGAAAAAATCTCAAAATAATGTTTTATTTCAAAGTTCGAGTGGTAGCAAACGTCATTTTAAGTGTTCGAATAAAGTGGTTAATTTGTTTGTTCTGATACGCCGTGCAAAACTGCTCGACAATATGATTAATTTTTCTTTGCCATTCTGATTTTATTGAAACCGTAGGGATATCCTTTATATTATAAAGTCTCTGGCAAGATTCACTAATAACAATTCAATAATTATTTTTGTGTCCCTACACATGATTTTTTGCAATGTGATAAACAAATGATATACATGTGTCGGGCACATAGGTATTATGTGTACACATAAAATTCATGTGTAAGAGCACCGCTACGGCAGTCCCCATACGGGCCCCTATCTCTATTTCCGAGCCCTATATAGCAACTTAAACGCTGTCCAGACTGGAGAGTTATAACATGTTATAACGGTTGTCAAATAATTGCAACACAGAAATCAGCATCAAGATAGCGCTATAACATGTTATAACTCTGTAGTCTGAACGTACTATTATGCCCGCACTGGTAGTAGTTAAACGGGTTTGGGAAATGAGAACGCAACAAAAAATAAATCATGAGTTTTCATATTTGGCGCCCCACTACAACTTACTCTGCTCTGGGTCGCTATTATGTTTGCTTGTGACACCACCGGCAAACCGACATGAATGACCATACAAAGTATCATCAAATTTATGATCAAAGCACAAAACTGACATCTGCGGTCGTGTTCGTGAAAATTGTGTATCCTAGCCATGAACACGCATACTAAATGTATGAGTTGGTTCGTGTCTAATCTATTCCGGGCAAATTATTTTTATCTAGATAACAAATTTCTATGGTTTTGACAGATGGGATCGCTGCACATTTGAATCCGCCGTTATGGATTCTCGATCAAGAGTTAAGTTTAAGTTTCATGTCGGTTTGTCGGTGGTGACACTGCTGCTTTTGTTCACACTTTTTCGGTTTACATTGTGTGGTTCAGTTTACGTTTCGCTTTGTGGTTCAGTGCATTCCATTGCGTTTTGTGAGGATGAATACCAATGCAAGAGGTGAAAGCTGGACATCCGAAGAAGATACGGTGCTTTGTCTTGCGTGGTTTGATGCGAGGTTTGATGTGTCTTAGGACCCCATCACAGGAACAAAACCAGAAGGCAGAAACGCAGCGGCAGTAGTATAAAGATCCTAGCATTCCAGGAAATCCACGATTCTTTCCAACACGCTACAACCATAGAGGTAACTCTAAGACTAGAAGGTCCCGAAGCTATAAATAAGAACAGTTGTTTCACAAAACTCCACAAGAGATTTCAGCGCTGTTGTCTCTGTCATCCTGATGTATTCATGCATGACTTTTGCAAGCTGGTGGATTGCGGGGATGCATTTTTGAAGGCCAGCTAATCCTAGTTTACCAGCCACATAAGGCTTTTGCACGCAGGGCTTCTATTTCTGCAACAATCTTTGTAAACAAGTTTTGGGACATTCGAAACCGCAGCCGAAACTGTGAATCGCTATACGTGGGATTCTCGGAGAAATAATCCTAAAACAGTCGCTCAGCTCCTACATGAGCACTGAGAACCCCTGTTGATTTTTTGCCAGCTCAAGATCCTCCAACTCAATTGCTTGTCTTCTTCCACAGCTCTTAACAACAGTTCATGCACAGACAAACAGACATAACACTCGCAAGTTGTTCATCGAACAAGCATTTAACGGATAATTTAAAAGTATCGTAGTTGGTAGTACCGCCATCTGTGGCGCGCATAGTCATTTCCCTTGCGTTTGACGTTTACACACTACCGATATCTGTTCAGTGTAGTGCCCACCACAGTGTACTCAACAGATGGCGGTAATGTTTTAGCGACGATGTTTTACAGTGAGAAATATTCAATGTGTTATGTCTGTTTGTCTGTGGTTCATATGTCTGGAAAAGATAATGCTGTACAACTTCAATGTCTTTATCGTCATTTAAAGTGATGGAATCAGCTGCCTCCGGGAAACAATCTATCGTCGATGCATTTGGAATATTGATGATAAAACTACACAACTACTGCACATTGATCGACTGATAAAAATGAAATATTACAACAATATGACAATGTTCTTCGTGGTGATATTGTTTTGGGTTTTAGCAACACACGGTAGAAATACATTACTCAAGTCGCTAAACTCAAAATAGAAACCAACATGAATCACCGGTGGAAGAATGGGGTGCTAAGCTAAAATAGCCACCTAGATGGAGTCTTATTATAGGGATAGAGATAGCGTCTCCTGTGGCGGTGCTCTAACCACACATACTATTCAGTTGACTCTTAAACTTCCTGAGTGCATTCTGTTTATGTGTGGACACATGAAAATCATGTGGAATTTTACGTGGAAATTCGCCAATAAAAATGTGTCGAATTTTATGAGTGTTGCATTTTATTTGACCTGGTCGTGATCATTCATCACTGGTTAGGCTCATCGTTGGCTTTTTCATCCGGATCGCACAGCAACTGTTTGGAAAAAGGGACGCAAAAATCAATCAACTCACAAGTCAGGGTGTGGACAACCAAATAGTTCTTATACTTACACTGATCCACTTTTTGACATGTCATCTCTTTATAAATTCAGGCTCTTTACACTTCACGAACTGCATAATCATCAGCTGACCGGTGAAGGCCATTTCACTGATAAATGATCTTCTTGCATGACCCGAGGCCTGACCAATAAATGGAGCAAGGATGACAAATGCCCATTCAGAGATTCCTGAAATCGCATGGAGATCTAGGAGAGTAGGAGGAACTAGGTGAAATAAAGTTGAAACTTCCCTTACAATTTATCTTATTTAATTAGCCATTTGTTACGAGTTCTGATGAATGTGGGCGTCTTAGTGGAATACCTGTATAGTGAGAGAGAGAAGGATTAGAAATTTTCATTTAATTCCACTACCTTATTTGCTTATCCTTGACAGATACGCGTATTTCGTCTACAATGTGCAGGCTTCTTCAGTGTCGAGTATTAGTACAAGACACTGAAGAAGTCTGCACATTGTAGACGAAATACGCGTATGTGTCAAGCATAAGCAAATAAGGTAGTGGAATTAAATGTAAATTACTAATCCTTCTCTCTCTCATTATTTTAGACGAGGTTACAGCAGAAGCAATTTAGCTCAAAATGGACATGGCCGCACGTTGAGATTTTTCATCCAAAATGTCATTGCAACATTGGATTTAGGATATTTGAAAAGCAGGAAAACATAACAACTTAAAATCAAGCATTTAAAAGTTACAACCTTCACAAGACTACTGTTTGAGCACAATTAACACAAGTGTAATGCCACGGATACACTTGTATGATAATCTATGATCGTGAGCATTATTTGTATAATAAATTAACCTCTTCATTCGAGCAGTTAAAATGACGTTTACTACCACTCGAACTTTGAAATAAAACATTATTTTGAGATTTTTTCTTCTAGAACCTCGAGAAAAGTAGCCAACATTTGTGCGCTTCATAAAAAATAGAAATTAGTTGGTCCAGTTTTGTAAAATCGCTAGTAGAAAGTCACGCCAAAACTTGCGCCAAAACTGCTTGACAAAGTGGTCAATTATGAGCACATTCAAGAACAATACAAGTGTAGCCATGGATGTCCTCATAATTTAATATACAAATAATGCTCATGCTCTAGTCTGTCATACAAATGCCTCGAGCTTATTTTAAAAGTACTTATCAATGAATTGACCCCTTTGTCAAGCAGTTTTGGCATGACTTTCTACCAGCGGTTTCATAAAACTGGACCAACTAATTTCTATTTTTTGTGAAACGCACAAATGTTGGCTACTTTTCTCGAGGTTCTAGAAGAAAAAATCTTAAAATAATGTTTCATTTCAAAGTTCGAGTGGTAGTAAACGTCATTTTATCTGATCGAATGAAGTGGTTAATTAACCACTTTATTCGAGCACTTAAAATGACGTTTACTGCCACTCGAACTTTGAAATAAAACATTATTTTGAGTTTTTTTTCTTCTAGAACCTCGAGAAAAGTAGCCAACATTTGCGCGTTTCATTAAAAAATTTAAATTATTTCGTCCAGTTTTGTGAAATCGCTGGTAGAAAGTCACGCCAAAACTGCTTGACAAAGTGGTCAATTGCATCCAACCTCGCATCCAACGCAGTACTTTATCGGAGTACTTGATTATGAGTGGTTTCGTTTCTCCGTGTCATAAAATGAATAATAACTGCTCGACTTATTAATTCTCTGATGGATCTTCCTGACTGAATACCACCCTTCCCATACTCCATTCGCATTTGCACAATCTCCCGGGGCACCGATAGTGACGTTTGTTTTCTGATGGGCTTGCGATGATGTCAAATCGATGTCAACAAACTCCCCCGCACCCGTGATCCATTCGCGACCTTTCCCTTTTTCTTCCAAAAACTCTTCTCGAATTTTGGCTTGCGCTGGAATTTCAAACATTCCTACTGTATTCGTCGAATCAACAAAATATAAAGGTGAGAACCGAAACGGCAACATATTGTAACAATAATTAGTGATATTAGTAAGAGTCTGCACCAGCAGCAGCAAGCGAAATCGGTGCGGGGGCCTTGGGCTGACAAACCTTTAGAAGAGTGTGAAAAATGTCTTCGTAGCAGCAGCTACTGTTATAGGTGGTGATTGTGATTCATTGCAGTACGTAACTTTCTCTTCCCATTTTGATCGATCCAACTAAAAACAAACGGAATAACAATGGATCGCAAAGTGGAAGAGATCAAGTACAAGGTGCTGGATCTGATCAACAAGAAGGTGAGTTTAAGCTTCAAAGCTGGACAGATCTTGGAACTGGGGTGAGGAAGGATTGAAAAATGCGATTTTTTTTTCCGTTCACAGAAGGACGTGAAAATCCCCAAGATGGGCTTTACGGATTACTACGTGCAACATAATAGCGTTCAGCCCCAGCAGAAGCATTCGTCCGTGCCGGGGTCCAGCTCGTCCGGACGAAACTCAGCTGCGTCCTCGTCCAAGTATGACTACTGTTCGTTCTACGACGAGGAGGATGGTGAGGGAAAAGAGACGGTCGATGGACAGAACAAGGACTCGAACAGACTGTCCGATCAGGAAATTCTCGAATCCACCGAAGCGATCTACTTCGATGCCGGTAGCAAAACTGGCCTTCACGAGCTAACAGTAAGATGATTTTGGAGGGGGTTTTTCGCGTTTGTTTTGTTATTGCCTTTTGCTTTGTTTGTAGAAACTATCAGAAACAGATGGACTGCTGAATTGTCAGTGTATTGAGAAGGCGATGGGTACTTTGAAGCAACAGCATAAGGTGATCTCGAAGAAAGTGCTTCAGTTGATACTGGAGCAGCGTCCGGCTTGTAATGAGGAATTTCAGCGGATTCAGGAGACGGAAAGTTTGTTGAGGGAAACGATTGCCAAGTGCCGCAGTACCAAGGACCATCTGGACGGGTCGAAGAAGCTTCTAACGACGACAAATTTGGAAATTTTGGCTGCCTACAAAAAGCGCCAAACGCTGCTAAATCTGCTGAAAACGCTGAACGCCTTAAAGAGCATGAGGTCCATCGACCAGCGCCTACAGAAGCGTCTATCGGAGTCGGATTACAGTGGAGCGATTGCAATTTTGTTGGAGAACAAGAACCTCTCCGAACGATTCCAGCAGTACAATTGTATCGAGTCTTTGTCGACGAAGCTGCAGGATACGTTGATGATGAGCGAGATTCAACTGGAAGCAGTACTAAACGAAGTTCCAACGGGGTTTGATGCTAAGAAGTATAGCAAACTGCAGGAAGCGTACAAGTTATTGGAGAAGCAGCTAATAGCAATGGATCAGTTGCATATGAACTTCATTTCCTCAATCCACACGGCGGCTTTCACGGTGCTGAAACAGCATATGGAAGCAAGCTTGGAAGACAACAAGCAGAAGCTGACCTTCGAACAAATGTGTGAGAATGTCCCATGCGAAAAGTACATCCACTGTTTGACGGATCTATGTAGGGGCTTCTGGAAAATTTTGGTTTCGTACTACCAGGTTCGATGCTGGCATCAGAATCAGAAACTTTACGAAAAAGGAAGGGAGGCACAGCGCAAGGAATCGGTTCAGCAGTCCAACGAAAGCTTCCACGAGGAATACATTCAGCAAAAGCTGGAAATGGGTCAGTTTCGGCTGTGGAACGACATCCAGTCGAAGATTTGTATTTTCATCAACAGCACCAAGCTGAGTTCCTTGAAGTACGAGTACTTCATTCAAATCTTGGCCATCGTCCAGCGGCTGAAGAAGGTCGGAATCGAATTCTGCGAGGATCCCTCCGAGAAACTGATGGAACACATGCAACGTCATAGCGTGGAGTTTTTCCGCCGGTATCACATCGCTTGTCTGGAGGAGATTGGTCTATTTTTCGACCACGAAGTATGGGTCCCGATTGGGAGCTTCACCGACGTCAGCCAGCTGCAAGAGTATAAGAACTTCAAACATGCGCTGATCAAAAATCAAAACGGAACCATCCGCAGTGGTGGACGATCCTCGAGCCAGGAGAACAAATCACTCGACCCACTAGGAATAGGCAGCTCCAATCGCCCTGTTAACAGCACTTCATCTGTCCACTCGCAGGATGAGAGCTCTCTGTACGGCTCATGTGGCTATTTCCTGCGATTCACTGAGAAAAGCTCCCCCTTCGATGGGGGTTTCGATTGCACCATGCTTGAGGAAGACATCCTAGCTGGAATCGCTGACGAGTCATCCTACTACTACTCGGAAGATAGCAGCGACAACAACGAGAACTACTACGATCAAAGCCCGGAAGCGAAGCAGAAACCGCTTCCAATCGCCACCACCTTTGCTCCTCAAAACTCCTCATCCAATCTCCTCACAGTGTCCAATACATCCCTGACCGTACTGCGGTGCATCGGACGCTATCTGTACTTCTGCAAGCTGCTACAGTCGATCGCTCCGCACATCGTCATGTCCATGACGGAGCTGCTGGACTTCTATCTATTCTCGGTGCACGAAATTTTCTCCCGGGACCTTCCCGTGCCGCGAGACAATCTCTACTCTCCGGCACTGAAACGAATCCTTTCGCGAATCCAAACCACCATCGTTCCAAAACTGCGCAAATGGCCCCTCTCGGACGAGATGATCAAGGAAGACCTCGCCAATCCGGAACTGATGTACGGGCTGCAGAAGCGAATCGTCGCGGCGGAGAGCTGTCTCAGCTTGATCGGGCAATTCCGCCTGATGGAAGAGTACTTAGGTGGACTGCTGCTGCAGTCCGATCCGTCCGGGCAGGATCAACTCCGGAGGTATCTGGCGGAGGCCGTCGAGTGCATTCCGGACGTGCGAAAGCCCATCTATATGTGCGTGACGGCGCGGGTTGTCGACATCCAAAATGTGCTGCACGCCATGGGGAAGGTCAAGTGGGACATCAACCACGTCAACGTGCAGCACAGTTCGTACGTAGATACGATGAATCGGGTGAGTTGGGGCGGGGGATTATTGATATGGCGATTTGAGAACGTTATTGAACGGGGAATGTTTTTTTTATTTTGTTTTAGGGAGTGCAACACTTTGCCATGCGACTGGAGGAAGCTTCCGGGCAGCAGGCCAACATTCCAAAGGATGCCCTCTGGGACTGTTTCGTACATGTGCTAACGCATCTGCTGGTCGAAGGGTGAGTACAATCGACACGTTTCTCCTCCTTTCTTCGGTCTATCACTAGAATTGATCTTCCACAGTTCGGTATTCTCGTTTGACAAGCAATCTAATAAGATTCGTAAATGTTTTCGCCTTAAAGTATACTAGAGAATCGTTCTCACATAAACGAACCCAGCTAGAAAATCCTTACCCCTTGCACCCAAACTTCCCGCATGGCACGTTGTACAGTTACTGAAAATGAAATCAACTCAGAGAGTGGAGTCACTTTTACTTATTCGATTTACGGTTAAGCGATTTGCAGTCAATTTAATTGTTATGAGAAAGTTTGAACATACTGAGGGTAAGCACATATCAGCGGCAAGAGACGTGTGTGTGTGAGAAACTTTACGAAAAAATCTAAGGGCACCGAAATCTAGATAGAGCTGGAGTTAGAGCGTAACAGCCATTGTAAACAATGACTTCTCTCGATGATTTCTAGGAATCCAAGCCACGCCTACATAAAGCAACATATCCATCGAGTAGGGGAAGTCTGGGCTTATAACTGATCAGTCTGGCCAGCGTTTCAATTCTCCCGACTGTTGATGGATATGGAATATATCAACAACCAGTGTCCACGTTATACCATTTAAATTTCAAAATACTGAAATCCCCACCTCGATTTCCTCTGATTCCAGCTTCTCGAACGCGAAGAAATGCTCCCCCGGCGGTCGAGCCCTGATGCAGCTGGACTTTATTCACTTCATCTCGATCCTGGAGATCATCTCCGCCGACAAGTACCCGGAGCATCGGGCCTACGTCGAGCAGTACATCAAGGCGTACTACCTACCGAAGGACCTGCTGGAGGAGTGGCTCACCGAGGCCTTCGGCCGGGGCTATTCGGTGAAACACCTGACCGGGCTGGTCCAGTGTGCTTGTAGCAGTGATAAGAAAATACGCCAGAAGCTGCTTGCCCTGGTGGAAAGCACTGGCAGTATTAGTAACAATAACAGTGGTGATAATGCTTCTAGCAGTAGTCAACGCGAGCAGGATCTGAACAAAGAATCTTAAAGTATTGCTTAAGTTTAATCTTTTCTCTCTCTCCTTTTTCTCACGTACTGACACGGTGGTTTTCCATTTCTGTTCAATCTTTTTAGATAAATTAATTTAGAAACTTAGATGGGTTCCAAGCAACAGCATGAAAAAAAAGACATTATCATATTTAGAGCAATCTCTGTTGTTTTATTAATAATTTTATTTGACATAATATATTCCCGAAGTTTATTTTATTCGACAGAACAAAGCTATGTACATTAAATAGTAAATAAAAGAACACAGTATATAACAGGATGGCAGGGGTTTAAGCTTTAGGAAAGAACACACCTTTATTTGACCCCAATGATGGATTCTATGGAAAACGATAGTTTCGGTTTGGAAGGCGGCCTCGTCGATGGTGCAGGTGGAGAGGTCTGCTCCAGCTGAAGACTCCTCTGGGCAAACTCGAACGGAGGTAGAATCAACGGTTTCAGCGGAATAAACGAGGCAGGTGTGGCGATGAGGTACGGCGATTGCTGCTGCTGATGTGGCGGAGGGCTGGGAATTTTCATCAGAATCGGTGCACTCATCAGCCGGCTGTCGGCGAATGCTCGCCGCTTTCGGATCCGCTCCGTCAGTGGGGATTCGAACAGTGAAGCAAATTTGCGGGAATCTGTCGAGAAATGAGGAAAGATATAAGGAAACTTGTTAAGTGATAATTAATACGGCTAATTGGGGTGAAGTTTCAAAGCCGAGCGCTGTCATCTATAGCGAGTGGGAAATGAAACAAACCGCGCGGTCTAAATTATCCATGTCGCGCCTCGAGGGGAATTACTGTTTCCATTTGTTTTAATCGGGAATTGTATGAGCAATCCGAAAAGATACCACTGATGCTGCTAAGTGGATAATTTCCATATTTGTTGAGGATTTAAAAATAAAGCAAAAATCCTCCGACGCCCTCGTCAGTCATCGTCGTCAGTCAGTGCATCGTCGATTGTGATTGGAGTGGCCGCAGCGGACCAGCTGGGCTGCGTCAACAAGTCTCATTGGTGGTGGCAGTTGTTGTTTATTCAGCGTCGTACACAATACGATCTACTATAGCTCTGCGGTATAATACAGAACAAACGAACCTAGTACGAAATATGTATAAATGTCCAACCGTCAGTCAAACAAATATACATATTAATTTGGGATTTGACGGGATTCCCCTTCTTTTCTTACTAGCAAACTGCTTCGAGCAGAGGTTCTGTTTTTGTTAGGAAGGTAGTTCTCTTTTTGTTCCTAATTCACTGATGCGATGCTGTTGTGTATGTATACTTTTTGGTTGTCCTTTCGTTTCCCTCCCAGCATGGGGTTCCGTTTGTTTTAACGCAGTTTTAACCGTTTTCTGCTAAGTAGTTGTATTTCATTTGGCGATCGGATTTCGTCGTCTTGCTCTATTTTGGATTCACTTCCAGACTTACTGCTGTTCTACTTTTCAAAATAATGTCGGCGCGTTTTATGGCCGATATAACGATTCTAGATTTTTCTCCTCATACTCCTTCTAATGTTAGGTTCTCACAGAAAACACAATTTTTGAGCATTCAGATCTAGTTGAAAAACGATGGTGGATAGTGGACTTCCAGAGTAGCATACGTTATGTTACTCCACGTTTGCTGCACTGCAGCATACTGGAAGTAGTCATTTCAGGTCCACAAATGGCCACTACATACACACCTAATATTTATGGCCGTAAACCAGCAAAATGTTCTTTTAATAAAGTGAACGCAGATTGCTGAAAAACCAGCAAAATTTTACTGATGCTGCAGCAAATAGGAGGAGCAATTATTTTACAGTATGAAGGAATGAAAAATGTAAAAGGTGTGAAATTCAATGTGTGCCACAATTCATTCTAAATATCGTTATTTATTCTAGGCTAGTTATATTTGATATCATGCATACAGTATTGGAACACACATTTTGTGGTAACAGGCCAACCTTATGATCCGGTCATGTTGCGGTTGTGTGTATTCACGTAACGTGAGTAGATCACTGTTATATCTTACCTTTTATGATTACTGATGAATACTCAAAGCATATATTCTAGATAGAGCTGGAATTAGGGCCTAACAGCTTTTGTAAACAATGACTTCTCTTGATGATTTCTAGAAATTCAAGGCTCGCCCACGCAAACCAACATGCTCATCGGGTAGGGAAAGACTATTTCTAACTGGACGATCTGAAGTTGACTGCGGTGAATTCTCTCTGGTTCTCTTTAGCGAGTTCTGCTGCGTACTAGAGTTGCTTCCCTCTGTTACTTTTAGCAATTATGATGATGGGTATGATGCTGATCCTGGTTGTAGCGGTAGAGATGAATTTAACTCTGAAGAAGGGTCTACTACGTCTGGAAGAAATCGACTGATTTGCTTGATCCCAGCTATTTCTTTAGATGGATGACACATCGTCGTAATGTTACTCCTTAATCATTCCTGACGACTGTGTCATTATCCGAACGACTTATAACTTTGAACGTATCCAGCTTAAATTTCGGGTCTAGCTTACCGTGTTCATAGTTTTTAAGAACAACTGCATCTCCTTCACTTATTTCCGAGGGCTTTGCATGTCGCCGTAGGTCTGCATACTGTCGTGACTCGACCGAGGTTTTCAGCCTCGGTCGCGGTTCCACGAATCTGCTGCTCCCTCTGTTGGTCCACTAGTGCCGCTATCCCTTTTGCTGGTGGTCCTTTGCTGATCGTCCACTCAATCCGCAGTCCGTCATAAGAATGCCGACAGCGAGTTTAGTTTTTTTTATTTTTTTTTATTTTAAATGATCTTTATTTCAGTTTAACTTGGATGATTACCATATACATTTTTCTAAGTGATTTAATTGCTTTCTTCATCTTTAGGTATGGGCAAAATTCAAAATTTGTTTTACAGAATTAGTCCTAGACTTAGTACACGGTCGACCACCTTGGTGGGATTGGTTTGTTTTGTTTTTAGAATTTGAAGAGAAACTACTTAATACTACTATTTACAGCTTAAAACTAACCTACTCTACTATATATACTTAACCTACACTTGCTTATTAAAGCATGTTCAGAAAGATTGCATTTTTGGATAAATTTGGTTGTCATATTCTCAATTTTGGAATCTACTTTGGGAATTTCTGCCTCTTGATGGAGGTCTGCTATTCTTGTGTCGAATGGACGATCTAGGATCATCCTCAACACTCTATTCTGTGCAACCTGGATTTTGTTCCTGTGGGTCTGAGCGCACGATTCCCACACCGGGGCGGCATAGAAGATCGCGGGGGCTATGATCTGTTTGTAGACAGCCAGTTTGTTTTGCCTTGAGAGGCGGGATCTGCGGCAATTGAGCGGATACAAACACCTAACCAAGGCGGAGCACTTAACTAGGGTTTTCTCTATGTGCGAGCGGAACAGGAGCTTCTCATCGAACAACATCCCGAGATTAGTAACATCAGCGGACCACTCGACCCTTGTACTATCCATTATTACGGTACAGGAGGGAGACGGTTTAAGTTTTGGTGATTGTCTGTGAAGGAACATGATCGCTTGGGTTTTCGAGGCGTTGATTTTGATTTTCCACTTGGTGGCATAATCAGTAAAGGTGTCAAGGCATCGTTGGAGCTTGTTCGTAATTTCACGAGGCATCCTATCCTTGACGGCTATCGCGGTGTCATCTGCGAACAGGAAGAACACGCATCCGTCTCCTAGAGGAGGGATGTCCGACGTGTAGATGCTGTAAAGCAGTGGTCCCAGCAGACTCCCTTGCGGAACACCTGCTGGGATCGGAAATTGTCCCGAAAGGGAACTATTCAACGACACCCTGAACGACCTTTGCTGGAGGTAGTTACGGGTGATTTTCACAAGGTATGGTGGAAAGTTAGAGTTACAAAGCTTGTATATAAGTCCGTCGTGCCAGACATTGTCAAACGCCTTTTCGAAGTCTAACAAAGCCATGGCGGTGGACTTGGATACAGCTTTGTTACTTCGGATGTTATTCATCACCCACACTACCCGAGCAAAGTCGGTAAACAAATTGAAAGCAAATCGATATTAAAGTTTGCAGTAACTATCATAATGAAAACTCATTTTGATTTCAATTGTGGTGACATAAGTCTGATATCATATTGTGCTTTCATTATGCAGTCAAAACTTTTTAAATGAAAGCAACTTAACTTGAAGTTTTGCTGTTAACTAATGATTATTGTTTATTTGTTTTGTTTAACACATTTTAGGTCCTTCATGACTTGCCCGGGGTGAGATTTGAGCTCAACTCTTTCACCGTGAGAAGCATGGATACTAACCATTTACGCCATGCCCGTATTCAGTTAAACATTATGAATGCAAAATCAGTAATCAAATTGATTTCATTGAAAGCAAGATTAGTTTTCCGTTTGATTCAACAGTGTAAAATTTTGCTCTCATTTTTGATGTGTTAACCGTTAAGTCAACCAAAATGAGATCAACTGGAGTATTCAAAATAAGTTACATCATAACAGCAAATTTTGATTTCAATTTGATCTCCAGCTTTGCTCGGGTAGCTGATGATTGGTGGAATGCCTTCCGGAAGAAGAATGTCATGTTCCTCCACAAACTTGTTTAGTCGGCTGAGGATCAATTTTTCGAACAGCTTGCTCAGCGCTGAGAGCAGGCTAATCGGTCTGTAGCTTGACGGTAGTGAAGGGTCTTTCCCAGGTTTGCGGATCGGGATGATTTTTGCCACCTTCCAGATGCTTGGAAAGTAGTGCAGCTCCAAGCATCTGTTGAGAATGGCAGCCAGCAGCGAGTGCACCCTCGCGCTGAGATTTTTCAACTCTAGGTTGAATATTCCGTCAAACCCGGAGCCTTCATGTTCTTACTGTGTTTCAGCGCTGAGCAAATTTGTTCCTCTGTAATCCGTTCTTCTGGAGGGACGGCACAAGGGGAGGCATCTAACGTCTGGACGCACTGCGCAACCTGGTTCTCGAGTGGACTTAGGATTTTGGAGCCAAGCAAATGCGACTGGGCAATGTGCTCCCCAATCGCATTGGCCTTCTCTTCGTTGGTGATAAGCCGTTCACCATTAACTCTAAGTGGTGGAATGGGCTTGGGGTGAGACTTCAGCACTTTGGCAACCTTCCAGAATGGTCTGGAACGGTCGTCCAGGTTCTGAACGAGCCGCCCGAAACTCTCGTTCCGGATTGAGACCATTCTGGAAGCAATCTGCCGATTCAGAACGACCATTTCGTATTTACGCTGCAGATCCCCAGTCCGCTGGAACTGGCGTCTACGAACATTTCTGAGCCGAATCAAGAGTTTGGTGTGGGAATCAATTGCTTGAAACTTACCCCTCACAGGAACTCGTCGAACGCACTCTTCGTCAGCCACGGATATGGCTTGATGGAGACCCTCCAGGGCCCGGTCGATGGCCTCCACTGTGTCGAGCGGTGGGTTGTCGACCACGCGCCGAAACTGGACCCAGTTGACTCGATGGTAGTCCTTCCGCAGGCACGGTGCAGGGGCCACGTTGCAGCCCAGCTCGGTCAGCACCGGTTGGTGGTCCGAACTCTGGTCGTTGACGGCAACCGGCTTGGCTAATCCGGTGTTTGCCAAAAACAGGTCCAGCGTCGATGGGTTGCCCGCCGATGATGTGAAGGTTGGTTCGTCCGGAAACCAGATGTATTAGAGA